GGAAAGATTTATAAAAGGAGATTGAAGTTGTTGTAGAACTAGTAGAAGTTTGAGATGAAGTGATTGATATTTGAGATGATGATTCAGACATTGTAGAAGATTCACTCATAATGTCATTGATTGAAGTCATTCTTTTGGTAGTTGGTTAACAAGCAGTATTAGTTGTAGCAGTTGTAGTAGTAACAATAACCATCAAAAGAAGAAAGAGAGAGAGAGCAATTTAGATCTTAATAAATTTAGATTGGATCAATTAAGGTATTGTTCTTATCAAATTGCTTGGAACGTGGGGCATCTCAAAAGACAATGAAAGGCAATTATTACACAAAAACCATAATTCTAAGTTGTGTTGCTCAGCCTTGGTGGTTGAAAGAATAATCAATTAATAGATAGGTTAACTACCTAATACTAACTAAATAAGCATATATTAATTAAATAGCAAATATTTAAAAAACCTATATTTATATTTATATTTATATTGGGGAATAATTACTCATTAAAATATTAAATCTTCTATTAGATGTGTAGTAAATTAAAAGTCAGGCACCCCCTTTCAGGGGAATCTAATTATTATTATTAAATGAAATGAAAGAAAAACAAATATCTTCTAAGTTTGAGTCTTATTATCAAATTCAGTATAAGCAGGTGGATTTCTATTAAGATATCCTTGGGGTTGTTGTGGTTGTGGTTGTGGTTGTGGGTGCTGCTGCTGCTGTAATTGAGCAGAAGACGACTCTTCAACTACAGCTCCATATTCTCCTCCTCTACTAGCATTTGATATGATGGCAGTATTAGGGTGTGGTTGTGGTTGTTGTGGATGTGATGTTTGATGACAATGATGATAATGTATTTCTCGATTAGGTAATTGGTTCTCTAAATCGCCTTTATATACTACATATATCAGTTGTATATGTTGTTGTTGTTGTTGACTATAAGGGGGATATTTAGCAATTATATACCAGGAATGAATCAACCCTGGGAAATATCCCAATATTAAAAGCAAAATATTTATAAAAGAATCATATGAACAAAATCCTCTTCTTATCCATACTGGAATTGGTGGGAATATTA